GGGGCTATGGGAATGTATGAAGCCATGCTCGGGCGTGCACACGCGCTGTTTACTCTGACAGCATATCGCAAGTCTCGCAGATGTTACAGGCCGGGACAGTGCCACCGACGCAGCCGCAGCTGCAGCAACAGCAGCAGCACGCTTCATACTATTTCCGTCCCACGGGACGTTCACTCTCATTTCCTATACCACTATCAGTAACCAGCAGCAGCAGCAGCAACACCGGCATCTCCGGTCGCTAGCGGAGTCTGTGCTAGCTGTGCAAGTGTGTGTGCGCGACCGAACTCTTCCGTGCTCACTCAGGGATCACCTCAACATCAAAGAAACATCTCTCTTTTTCGCGCAGGCGTTTTCCCGTTGTCTCGCTCGCTCTCACTCTCTTCTTTTCCTATCTTCCTCTCTCCCACTCTGCTACCTTTCTCTCTCGCGTGTCTCTCCCGTCTATATCTCCTCCTTCCTCTCCCATCTTTCTTCTCGCTACCTCCCTTTTCGATCTTCCCGTCTCTCTTACCCGTCGTCCTTCCTCTCTCATCCCCGCTTCCTTCCTCTCTCGTCTCTTATTCTTCACATCTCATCTTATCTCCTCTTCCTCCTCCTCCTCCTTCTCCTCCTCTTCGTCGTTGCCGTCGTTATCTTTCTCATCCTCCTCCTGTCCTCTCTCTATCTCCCCCGTCGCTGTCTCACATGCACGATGGTAGGCATACGTACGGTGACCGCCGCCGTCTTCCTTCTGTTGTCGGCCGTCGTCGTCATCGTCGCCTTCGCGTCGGACATGTGGCTGACGACGACAGCGTATCGCAGCAGCCTCGGTCTGTGGAAGGTCTGTCGGCTCGGCAACTGTCGTTGGTTCTACGAGGATGATTTTCTCGACCCAGTCTCCAGACTGCCAGGTAGGAAGCTATGGCTAAACACCGTGCAGCCGCAACACGCGCATACACACACAGACACAAACACACAGACACAGACAAACACACACAGACACACGCGTGCTTGTGTGTGTGTGTGTGTGTGTGTGTGTGTGTGTGTGTGTGTGTGTGTGTGTGTGTGTGTGTCGTGTGCGTGTAGCCTAGTCGCGTTATTTCTGTGTGATGTGAATGTGTCGTGGTGTGTGTGTGTGTCGTGTGTTGCGTTGGTGCGTAGTGCAGTGTGCGTGTGCGATGTGCGTGTGCGCTTGTGCGTGATCGTGTGCGCATTTAGTGTGGATGATTGTGTATGTGTGGTGTAGTGTAGTGCTGTGTGATGTGTGTGTGTTGATTTGTGTGTGTGCCGTCGCGGCGAGCGCGTGTGTGTGTTGTGTAGTGTGTGCGCGTAGTGTCGAGTGTGCGTAATTTATGGTGTTGTGTGTGTGCTGTGTGTGTGTGTGTGTGTGTGTGGTGTTGTGTTTGTGTGCGTGAGTGCATGCGTGCGTGTGTGGGTGTGGGAGAGAATGTAATTAAAATAACCGTACATGTAATTAGCAAAATGACACGCGAAAACAAATTAGAATTTTCAATAATTGTAATACCCAATGTACAGTGTCGGTATATAGGCAACTTTTGCGGTCGAGCATTGAAACGCATGTCCCAGGAAGCGTGAGCGCATTCCTACCTCTTACTATCCGGAGTGTGCGAATCACACTCTACTATATATAGTTTACTAGCTGGTGTTATAATTCCATGCGTAGCTGACCAAGTGCGAACGGTCCAGTTGCACGACCATTTTGTTTATGTGTGCCATTTCTGAGTCTATAATTGTGTATTTTGAATATGCCTACATATACATATATATATATATATATATATAATATATATATATATATATATATACTTGCGTGCGCGTTCATGCGTCTGTGCGTGCGTGCGTGTGTATGTATTCAATCAATCAATTAATCAATCAATCAATCAATCAATCAATCAATCAGGTCGAGTCTCTTCGGGAAGAATGGTGATGGCATGCGAGGATGGTCTGCGCAGCATAATTAACCGAATTTCATCGGCTGACTGCAGGCCAGTATCGCGTCTGAGTTGGTCGATGTTTGTCAGTCGCTGGCCGCCCCGAGAAGCCCGACCCTGTTGAGGTTCCCAGAGAACCAAGTCGTGCGCGGCAACATTACTGTGTCGGACACAGTGCCCCGCCAAACTCAATCTTCTCGATCGTATCTTAGAGGAGAGCGGTGGTAGTTCCCCATAAAGCACCTCATTCGGAACACGATCTTGCCAGGTGACATTACATACTTTTCGGAGCATACTCGTGTAGCATTCATCAAGTCTGGTCTCGTCTCGTACTGTTAATGTCCAGGCCTCGCATCCGTAGGTGAGAATTGATTCTACCGAGGCCACGAAGATACGCTTTTTTAGCCCTTCCGCCATATTTGAGTTCCAGATGTTGTTCAGCTTGTGGAGCGCACGCCAAGCCTGGGCCTTTCTCACGCCAATATCTTTACCTGAAGAGCTGATATACGAGCCTAGGTACTTGAACTCATCCTTGACAGCTAATATTTCACCATCGAGAGTAGTCAGCTCTACGTTATCTGGGATGTTTAAGGGTACTACCTCGGTCTTTTTAGTATTCAAGGATAGGCCAAGCTTTCTGCATTGAGTCTCCACACCACATAGCAATTCTTGAGCTTGGTTCACCGAGTCACTTGATAGTGCAATATCGTCAGCAAAGTCAAGATCCGTTATCATGACAGGGCCGACTCGCCTGCTCCGTCTTGGGTAGATAGTAAACCCGAGCTCTTCCTCGCGGCCATTTATTGCTTTGCGTAAGACATAGTCAAAGACTATCACAAACAGGTAAGGGGCTAAGGTGTCGCCTTGGAGGACACCTACTTCGATATTAAACATGTCTGTTTCGCCGTCTGGTGAGAGGACTTTTGCCGAGGTTTTAGCGTACATATCGCTTATTGACTGCACTATTTTAGGTGGTATTCCATATGCCAGCAGAATTTTCATGAGCTTGCGTCTGTGAATGCAATCAAAGGCCTTTCTGAAGTCAACAAACGTTAAGACTGCGGGCAAGTTCGTCTTCTTTGCGCCCTCAACGAAACGTCGTAACGCAAGCACTTGACATGTGCCGTTGTTGACCTTCTTTCCCTAAATCCATTCTGGTTGAGTCTTAAATGAGGGTCTAAAGGTGGTCTAATCCTATTCAGAATCATTCTGTTGTAAACTTTCGACACCACTGAGCTCAAGCTAATTCACCTGTAGTTGTCCCTGTTTCTGAGATTGCCAGCTTTTGGTATGGGAACTATGTTCAAGATGGACCATTGCTCAGGAAGCTCACGGTTCTCATGCGCTCTATACGTGTATGGATGCATTCAAAATATTGAATATATATATATAATACATAATATATAGATCAACATCTGCGTGTGATCCTATATACGTGCGTGCGTATGTGCATGCGGGTGTGGGTGAATATAAGTTCAGTCGGGTTGGTTTAGTTCTGTGACTGTCGGCATATATACACGCAGAATCACCGCTGCACGACATTTCCCTCGAGGCTGCTATACCACCAAACGGTCGGTCGGATACAATTACAAGCAAATGGTCGTCGGAAAGCATATCTTTACGTCGGTTATATACATAGTTGCTCTCCCAGAAATGAGCCGCCCAAACGAGTGTGGAGAGAAAATGACGCACGCACGCACACACGCACGCACGCACGCACGCACGCGCACACTCACGCACGCACGCACGCACACACACACACACACACACACACACACGCACGCACGCACGCACGCACGCACGCACGCACACACACACACACACACACACACACACACACATATACCAGAGAGAAAGGGAGAGAGAGGGGACGGAGAGGAGTGGGAGAGAGAGAGAAAGATATCAGATGATAGCGGCTTGGCCGTATGAGGAATGAGCGTTTCCTTCACAGAGAGAGAGATAAGATTGAGAGAGATGCTCTCTCGGAAGCGACCGCCGGAGAGACGAGAGACGCAGAGAGAGAGACCCCCCGAGAAGCAGAGAGCGATGAAGGCCCAGATCCGAGAGAGAGATCAGGGGAGAGGATCATGATGACGAGCGGCACGAGACACGAGAGTTGGCTGAATAATATGCGTAATACTAGGGCGAACCATAATAGAGACCAGTGTCTTGTGTGCGTGTTGATGTGCGGTTTGGGCGGTGTTGGTGTGCGCTGTGGTGTCGTGTGGTGTGGTGCCGTGGTGTGTGTACGGTCGCTGTGCGTCGGCATCCGTCTTCGATACCGTGCGTCCGATGCGTTTACTGCGAAACAGAGAAAAGAGATAGCATGAGTGGAGTCATCATCAGAACGTGAGGGCAAGCCTTCACCACTGGAATGGGAGAAAGAGTTGAGAGTAGAGACACGGAGATCAGATGTGCAGAAGAAGAGACGTAGGCGAGAGAGAAGAGATGAGAAAGGAAGAGAGAGAGCGAGAATGAAAGGAAGGGGGAAGAAAGTAGTCGGGAAGAAAGAAACGGTCCGGAAGAGATCGCTGAGCACAGCGCAGTATCGAGAGAGAGAGAGAGAAAGGGAGAAGAGAGAGACACGCGAGTGCGCGACAGAAACAAGGTAAAGGCGTTTAGGGACAGAGACAAAGCAACAGCCAGAGCGATCTGAGGAAAGGAGAAAGGTGATTGAAGACGAGATTGAGAGAGAGAGAGAGAGAGAGAGAGAGAGAGAGAGACTGTGAGAGAGAAATAGAGCCCGCGAGCATGAGAGGGGCTCTGGGAATTGTACCCGCAGAGATGCAATTATTACCAAGACTCGAGCCTGTCATGAAAGCTATAATGCATGACAATTGCCGATATAAGCACGAATCATCTATCCATTGCGTATCTATGCGTGCACATATATTTATTCGAATGAATTCATCCCCCCCCCTTCGACGTATTAACGTATTAATCGATCATGAACCGCTGCCTCCACGCGCTCAGCTGCTCGCATGGTAGCGCAGCTACGGCGACAGTGACGTCACGCAGACATGCCCTCTGATTGGCATGCACCTGCATACACCTGTGGGCGCAGTAGTGGATTTCAAATGCCATTGTTACCTGGCGACCTCTATACGTGCTCGATTCGCATAGCTGTAGCAAAATGGCGAGTGGATTCGTGCCGACGTTTCTCTCCGGTATTTGGCTGTTTCTGACCACGGCCTGCGTTACGATAGCGTTCGGGTTTGATCAGTGGGTTCTGCTAAACCAGAGCAATGCTGGGCTGTGGCGGGTCTGCGTGCGAGACGTATGTAAGTGGTACTGGGAGCAGAGCCGCCTGACTATCGACACGGATTTACCGCGTGAGTATTACTGCCACCTTTCGTAGGGCGCTCGCTTTGCAAGATGGTGGCACGGCGGGGTGTGTCTGCCTGTCGGACACCTGAAATAGCTTACACGATTATTACTGTGTAATTATCAGCGCGTGCGGGCGTACGGCGAACATAAACGCCTGTTACGTCGACGCATGTGTGTGGGTGTGTGTGTGTGTCACAGTGTGTGTGCGTGTGTGGGAGTGTGTGTGCACACGCAGCCTCCCTGATTAGGGAGTATACACACCGGTTATAATTAACCCCCGCATGCGCTCGTCTGCGTGTAGTATGTATGTAGGGCGCATTCGTTGTAGGCAGCCATGAGTAATATTAATAACGGGTTACACCAGGTTGGAAGGGTGATCGTGTGGTGCGAACAGATGGCTAGACGCTGGTATTCCTCCCATCAACGCCTCCTGTCTTTCCTCCTTCTACTCCGGAGATATCTACTCGAGTCGATAGCTTGCGCCACCGCCCTTATATACGCCGCTATATACACCCGATTGCATAACCCGACCAGGCTGTGTGACTAACGTCAATATACACAGCTAGGGGTCTCCTAACCCTAGCAAAGACCGTTTCTTGGAGCTACCTATTGCACAGCTAAAGTGGCCCTAGTCTAGAAGACATGTCTCACAATACTTCATGCCTACAATACAATACACAATTGGTTATGTCTTCTAGACTAGCGCCGCTAAAGTTAGTGTCCCTGTAGAGTACTATAACGTATTTACCAAATCAGAACCCAATTCTAAGTAAATTAAGCCTCGTCTATAAGTGGACGTTACTGAGTTGGCGACTGTAGAGATGTGTATAATAATGTTTGTAGCTAAGTGTAGACTGGGTGCATGAAACAAGCGAGCTATATGTAGTGCATAGCATGCAAAAACAGTGACGGCGACGCGCCTGCCATGTCATGCATTCTTTGCATTATAAGGAATACACGAAAATTTCACGGTCTGTAAAAACGGCTATGCTTACGGAAGGAAGAACAACATTTCCAAGCTGATTTCAGATATGGTAAATGAGCTCTATGCAGAGCTCTCACCTACGTCTCGTTGCAGGTATAATTAATCTATCGGGTATATCGTATACAAAGGTCAATGTGTACATTTTAAATTCACTCTGAAAGTCGTTAATAATTAACAACCTGCCCTGACTACATCCATGCAAGTGCTGCTAGAATAAGCCTATAGTGTGCGGTTGCATAATCCTAAAGCAATGCGTATACAGTTTCTGCGTACTGTAACGTACGTACGTAGGCCTATATGCGTATAAAGGTTAACCCGATCACATATGTGACCAGCTGCTGTAAACTGTAAAGTAATAGCAGGAGTGAATAATAATAGATCTATTAAATCTATAATAATAGATATATAATCTAATAATCTATAATAAGATCTATAATCTATAATAATATATCTATTAGATCTAATAAATCTATTATTATATTCACTCCTGGTAATATAGCATTGGCAAATGCATTTTACTCGAAATTACCATGCAGGTCCGGAGACGTTATATTGTTCTTGGTATAACTTAATAATTATATTATTCGGGACTGGCTAATATTAGCCACACTAACGGATATGCATACCCAATCGAACTATTTCGGGCCATATAGAGACTATAATTAAGTCCTGGGAATATGACTGCATCTTAGGTGATTCTGACCATAAAATTCTCCTCAGGTGAACGGAAAACATGAACAAAATATACGTGCAGGGTAATCGTTGTGTATATCGAATATATCGATATGTAAATCAATATATATATATTATATATATATATATATATATATATATATATATATAAGCGAATTAATTGCAGAACGGCACGAGGATACTACTACGCTGGTCTTTAGGCCTACACACAATTGTGCACATTGAGTACACACTGTTCAGAATAAAAAAGCGAACTATGTTTGTATAATATAATTTCCTGTATAATTAGCTATTTTGTACACCGCTCAGCAACACAACATTAAGGAAACCGGCTAGTTGTTCTTCTAAAACTAATTCTTAAATTCTAAATATGAAATTCTAAACAGTTATGCGTTATGGAATTTGAAGGCATGGGAAAGGGTAAAGGTAACGGATTATGAATAAATATCATCTAGATGGCGCTGGCATCCCATATCACAGGGAGTCGTCTGCGCGCGCAAATATATTTTTTTACGCACATATTACACTTTTGTGTTCGTTGCTGTGTGTGCGCAGTGCGCGTGCTCGGGTGTGTGTGTCCGTGTGTAACTGATGTCAGCTATGAGCTATCGACACAGTTGTAACTTGTGTTTTTGGGCGGATCACTGTTATTTAATTTATACGCATCGTTTATGATTCGGTGAAGCGTATGAAGGTGTGTATTACCACAGCTTTTACTCGGCTAGCTGTTGGTCAGTTTTCAGCCCGAGGGGGGGGGCACTCGCCTCGGAACTGGGTAGGGGGTGCCTCTGTTACCTTGAAAACCGGACCCTGTTGCAAACCGCTTTAATTTGCGCCCTAAAATACACCCTGTCCCAATATAGTGCACTAAAAAGTATACCCTGTTGCAATATTGCACATTTCGGTTATGTCCTGTCCACCAGGCAGATATATTGGTCCAATATCGGCCTGGTAATATTTGGCCCAATATTGTTTTGCCAATATTGGTCCAATATCAGCTTGATGGGTGTGTATCTAGATAACCCTAGATAACGATGTTCGGAAAATATATTCTGTGCCAATAGTGATGTTCAGAAAATATACCTTGTCCAGCGGCACGTCCCCAGTACCTTTAACGATAGGAGCCCCCCCCGGGGGGGGGGGGGGTTAGTAGTTTGCGCATGGCTGGCCGCAAAGGCTGGAAGTATCGTGTTTGTATTGGAGCCACCATGATCACGTGACTCAACCCCAAATTAAACAGCATGCTAATTATGATTTCATTTCAAACAATAAATTATAATTTTATTCCCCAAAATATTACAAACCGAGTGTGTGTGTGATATCACTACGAAATGGCAAGCTGTGTAAATAGCAAAACTAGTAGGGTTTGTCACAAGTAACAATTAAACAATTAGGTGTATATATTATTAATCTCTCACCCTCTTCTATCTCTATATATATTTATGTATATTGCTCTCTCACTCTCTCATTTTCCCCCCTCTTCTATACCTCATATCTTAATTCCTCTTCCTTTGTCTCGCGCTTGCTCACTTTCTTATCGTCTTTTGCATATAATTGATTGCTATTGTTGGTTGTAGTCGCGTGACCGAAAAGTTCTCCGACTTTCTTTATTGATATTACCAGGAGCGTATAATGACAAATTTGTCGTATAATGACGTATAATGATATATAATGACGTATTTGTCATTATACGCTCCTGATATTACCAGGAGTGGCATGATATAGACGGACTGATATCATGGGTCACCTGACTGGAAACGTTCGGTAACACTGTTCCCGTCGTCAGTGCCATAGATAGGTGTAATAAGTGTGACATGGGCGCTTTTATCGTGTAAGCCACACTACTGGCCGTTGGCCCCTCGCTACATTAGCTGCTAACTATTAGAAGGGACACTGACACTGATATCTCTGTGTACAATGAACCTGCAGCCAGCTTGTTCTTTTGTGCAAAAGGAAAAAATCGTCGGTATTTTTGTCCCTCGTTAGTATGGCACAGTGTCGGTTTAGAAACCCGCCTAAATGTAGAGAGATCGTTATAATTGGGCGCGATTAAGCGAGAGTGCATGCTGAATGTTCTATACTGTCGGTATGGCCAGTGCATGCAGAGACGGAAGAGCAAAACCGGTGTTTGCGGTCAGTTTTATAGGATGGATCACTCTTTGCAAACATTTGACCTTTCCCATGAGCGAACGTTTTGCAGTGATACCACCTCTTAGTCTAGCGAACCACCACCTCTGCATGTCTATAAGGGACACTTTATGTGTTTTGATTGAGTGGTCTCCATCGTAGCTTTTACGTAAACGGTCTCGCAACTAAACATCCACCGTCACAGCAAGTAAAATGCCGGGCCGTACATCTTTATCTATATACGGCTCTGGTAAAATATAACCGCTGAACCGGATGCATACTACAGCGAATAGCGCATCCTAATGACTAAAACGGTGAAAAAATCGCAGAAGGCAGAAAGGTGGGATATGATATGACTACTAGGCACTTTAATTTAAATTAATTATATTATTTAATTTTTTTTTTTTAGGGTTAGGGTTAGGGTTAAGGTTTTTTTTTTTAAGTGCCTAGTAGTCATATCATATCGCACCTTTCAGCCGGGTGCGAAAAAATCATGCCGACGCAAGCGTCGACAAAATGCACGAGCGGGTTTTCTCAAACTTCCTCGACGCGTATTTGCATCAATATGAACACACTATAGACTGTTTTACATTCCGAGGTGCATGGTTACACGCGGTGTTTTGACAGAGAAGTGGATCAACTGCAGTAACGTGTAGCGGGCAGGGAAAGCGGCCTGTAATTATCAAGCACAACGCGTCCGTGTCTACGTGAGGAGATCTTGGTGAATGGAAGACGATGTCTAAACCGATCAGAGCGAGCCGGTAGCAATATTGAAGAAAACTGGAAAGTAACCACCGTATAGCCAGCATCATAGATGTCCCATAATACGCTATGTATACACGCACTGCATATATTGACATCTATAGTCAGTTTATATTAATGTGCTTATATTCGGTCTTAAATGCTTGCCTTATTTAACTGATCTCTGAACAAATTATGTTTAGATATTTGATTCAACTCTACTCGCATTTACCAAGACTGTAGCATGCCGAGGCAAGAAGGTATAGCTTCCCCCAATATTCCAGAGCAAAAAATTTAAAATAATTTTCAATAAATTCACGTATCCCTTCAGTCTAACCATGTTTCCACGTGGTTTATTTCTAAAATATAATACACCCCATCCAAATATTCCCTCGTCATTACTTAGCCAAGTCATAACATTTTGACCCCTGAGACTTTGTTCAAGCAACGACGTTGTTT